GTGTAGGAACCTGAAGACGGAGATAGAGTCCCATCTCCGAAACGTCGTTTTTTACGTTTTATATTTACTAGACGATGGATAATATCCAAGAAAATTTTTATTCAATTGACTCTTCACCATCGTCAAGAAGTTTTAGATTTGATATAAAGTCTTTAATTTCAAAATATTTGAGATTTGGTGTACAGAGAACGGTGAAACTACAGAACGTGGTCTTCTGATTAAGTGCGCAACTATCAGTGTCTCGGAATAATCTACTCCTCCTATTACCAGTAATTAAATAACAGAACATATCAGTATAATGTGCATTCCTCGCTACGTTCGTCCGAAACGTCGGTAACCGCTTTCAAGACTTCACGGTATCTCACATCTAACAAAAAACCTACAATATATGTAATTATTTTATAATGTTTAATCACCGTACATGAGAACTATGTTACGTTTATGTTAATTTGTATTTTCTGCGTCGATTAGGCTTCTTAATCATTAACATAATTTTTCGACGTTTTCTTGGCATTATTCGAAATTCTAGAGCTTTAAAGTTTCTTGAATCCACCCACTGACATATTCTACCTGCATGTTTGTTCCGCCATCTATTCCTAGGTCTTCCCAGTCGACTCTTTCCTTAACAATACCCCGCAGCACTTTTGAATGTAATTATAATATTCCCCGTGATTGCTACTACAATTTTGTATATCTTAATCTTTACGTTCTTATACAGTAGACGGGAAGAATATTTTGAAATTATAAAACATTTACACATAAACAATTATAAGATATTGTAGGTGCGTCATATTGTGATTTTATTTAAAAATATTATTAAAATATATTAAAATTGTCCGTCAATCACAATAAAGTAATATAAGATAATTGAATGGTTAAAATATTATCCTTTGTTCCGTATCGAGTACTCGATTTACATATGGAACATTCTCGACAAGTGAAAAACGAAGAAATGATAAGAAAATTAAAAATCAGTAATTCAGTTATAAAGTTTATAACATACACCTGATGACGGCTCTATGAAAGGCGAAACATGTCGAGAATGTTCCATATGTAAATCGAGTACTCGATACGGAACAAAGGATAATATTTTAACCATCTAATTATCTTATATTACTTTATTGTGATTGACGGACAATTTTAATATATTTTAATAATATTTTTAAATAAACAATTATGTCGGTCTTATCAGAAAGTATAATTTACCTGGCTACTACTGATGCTATGATGATATTTAACGACGGTTTCGTGGTGTTAAATGTGATGTAAGTGTGATCATACACAAACGTGTGGAGAATACATATAATAAAGATAAGTTAATTTAACGGTTGTGCCTGAGTAAAACATGGAAAATTTAAGTCAGTATAACTTTTAAACTGACCAATATCGTCCTCATGTTATAGTTGGAATGTTAACTGTAGTTCGTAAGTCAATTAACAAGTAGATTTTTATTTGTTAAAGCAAGAAAGATACGTTCTTATCAAAACGATAAAATTCAGACCTTGTAGACTTTCGTGTAGGTTACACGAACATGTTTCCGATATAAAACGAAAATTATTAAGTGCATTGTTTTTAAGCTAACGCAAGACTGATTAATATCTTGAAGATAATGCATTTGATTTAAGAGAATTTCGAAATATGTACCAACAATATTTCGACATAATACCGCCAATCAATGAAATATTCACTTCAGTCGAGATGAAGACAAATAACATTAATTTAATATCAGTTTTTGATGAGTAATATGTAAATATCGGGAGATCACGGGCAATACATGAACTTAAGGAATGAAGGCCTTTGTGACGTCAATAATATCGAGGTAACGATTTATAGATCAGTATCCATAAAGTCTGGAGCCAGTAAAGTGGATATATATTATTGTACTCACCCAAACTATTCACTTAATATCAGCTGTTTATAACATTTTTGCACACTTTCTTCTAATATTCTAAAATTCCAACTTTTACCCCCCGTGTTCCTATAAAATTTTATTTTATATTTTAAATTATTTTATGAGTAACATCAGACATATCATTTTTATTTTCTAATAATACCCGTCAAGTTTTACGGGAATAAAAATTTCTTGTGTAGAATATTAATACAATGTATTACATAATTACCATTGAAAATCGCATTTGAAAGCAAGAAATTTTTAAAAGGATTCTCTAAAATTTTATTGTTTATAAATCAATGTAATACTATGTTATACATCCACCATTGTCTGAGGTATATTTGATTCATAAGAGGTTTTGAAATTTTCTACTTCGTTTTCAAATTATTTGTTGTCAGATTTATTATTAATTTAAAATTTTTATATTATTTGCTACGTTGGGATTTGACCCAAGGTTATTCTAATATTACTCTCATCCGTCAAATATTGAGACCGGGATTGGTTGTTGTCCGAGTCACTGTATGTAACTCCTTAAAACCCAGTGGTAACTATATCTCCGAGTCACTGTATTTAACTCCTTAAAGCCCAGTGGTAACTATATATACCACGTGTTTTAAAGTTAAATAAGCCTCCTTTTGGCCAAGAGAATATATTTATGGTTTTCAAATAATCCTTGGAATAAACAGCGATTATTTCTGAAAATCAAGTGATCTTTGAAATGGTAAAATTCTCTTTTCTTTGCGGTACGGACTGAATTTTAAATATTATTTATTATTTGCCTGGCAAACCTTATAACTATAAGATGCTCTTTCAGGCACAAATTTTTCTTTTCTTCTAATCTTTTGATTCCTACCATTAAAATATTGATAATATAGGATAGATCAGTGGTCTCAAACCTGGGGTACGCATATCCACGGGGGTAAGCTAAGACATCTTAGAGGTTACGTGAAATTTAAAAAAAAATGTTTTATGATAAACACTGAATAATCAGTAATGTAATTTATTTAATTTATTTTAGATGTAGATTATATACTACGTATAACTTGAATTATACACCAACAACTTTGGGGGGTACAAAGTTGATGCGAAATTATATCTGGGGGTACGCGAACATAAAAGGTTGAATAAACTAAAAAAAAAGAACTTCTCTGACCGTAGTAAGCAATTTATTTAAGATGCAAATATCTGAGCCTTGATTCTGAAGGAAATTTCCTTCTACGAAGTTTGGAATTCAAATGTGATGATATTCAACACATGGTTCTGAGAAAATGCCTGTGGATAAAGGGGTGTTTGTTTATGTGAGAACTGAGGTCAGCTGTATAAATTTGTGCGAGGATAAAATCTCATACAATGTTTACTATTCCAGAATTCCATTTTACGCTCCATCGGACATTACACTGGTTGACGTAATAATTAAATATAATACAAAATATGTTAATCATAATGTTTCTGGTAAATTCTTATGGAAATAAGTAGACTGATATGGGAGTTCGTGAGTAATTATTCGTATTCGGCCTTTCTCTTAGTGGAGATAACTAAAATTTGGTCCTTCGGATGTAAAGGGTTTCTAAATTACAAGACGACAGACAACTCAGTGGACGGTAGTTTAGAACACTGAAAGGTAATTCGACTAGGACAGATAACAACGAGATATATCGACCACTCTTTAGCCAGAACTAACTGGATTTATATCAAATCTAAAACTTCTTGACGATGGTGAAGAGTCAATTGAATAAAAATTTTCTTGGATATTATCCATCGTCTAGTAAATATAAAACGTAAAAACGACGTTTCGGAGATGGGACTCTATCTCCGTCTTCAGGAGATATTCCGGAGAAAATTTTTATTTAACTGGATTTAGCTAAATTGAAGGATTTTGACTAGACAGAGCAGTGTACTCAGGTACTCAATAGTCTTCAGAAGGTTTATAACCGTGTTCACAAGCTTTTGTCATCGGCCATTACATTAACATCAAAAATTTCACGTGTTTATATCTCTCCACGCATACCACGTGCCCCAACCATAACATCCGCCTTGATTTTATAATCCTAACAATATTTTACGAAGGGTAAAAATTATGATACTCCTCACTACAAAGGGTTTTCCATTTCAATAAGTCTCCATCCCTCGTTTCAAAATTTTTCTAAGGACTCTGTTCTCAAACACAATCTATATTCTACCCATAATGTACAAGACAAGTTTTCACCCCCGTAACGGAAATCTGAAAGATTATTTTCAATCACTGCTTATGACATGCACAATATTTCCAAATAAATTTTATCCTGTGATAAAACACACTTCGGGATAATTACTATGTGTTAATATATTAAAAATAACTCTCATAAATAACTCAAATGGTGGATTACTATAATCGATATAAAATCAGAATGGTTTCAGAATGATTTTGTAATTGACCAATACTGTGATCTGTAGGGGAATTTTAAAATGTTTCATAAATTAATATCGACAAATTTTAGAGCAACATTCCAGAAAATACTTTGATTTAGTTCCCAAATATTTCAAACCTTGGCAACAGAATTACAGACAACGCGCATCTCACCTGAAGACTAACTAACTAAGTAACTAGATGGCTTACCGAACTCGAAGGTTCATCACCGAATTAACCAAAGCCCTCCACCGGACCCTGTCCTGGGCCAACAGAATCCAGTCTCCTTCGACTCCTATCTCCCATAGATCCCGTCTGAGATTATCCTCCCATCTACGTCTAGGTCTCCCCAGAGATCTCTTCCCCTCAGGCTTCCCAACCAATAACCGGTGCACACGTCTTGCCCCATCCATGCGCGGTACATGCCCCCTCGCCCGAAGCCTACTGAAAAATAACGAAATTGTTTGGCGACAAAGAAGACATTTTTAACAAATTGCCATAGTGGCCACTCCTTCCGTCGTATTATATGTAATCTTAAGTGCTACAATGTAGAGGATATTGAGAAATGGATTACATTATCATCGAACACTTTTTCGATAAACAAAACAAACACGTCGACACTTGAGATTGTGAGCTATTCGCGGAAATATTTGCAAACCACTCGGCGATATTAAATGCGACAAGAGTTGTATAAAAGAACTTAGTTCAGAGGACCAATTCAGATCGAAACATTCTTCTGAATATCTTACGCCGTCAACAACAAACGTGATAGGTAAGCATTGACTTATGTATCGATATATATCGATTTGTGTCTTTGTTTTTACGTTTATAGACCTAGGTTCTACCAAGATGTCCATACAATAGTCACTGCTCATTCACTGGGGATATGGTAACCAAAGTTTGAAGCTAAAATCTCATATAAATTCAGTAATTAATACACAGAACCTTACTTTAACGCCCGCTGTCCACCTTCAAGAATTCTTTGGTATAGACGAAAGACAAATAACAGATTTGAGGTGTGATAAATTTCTCGTATGATATTTCTTTCCAGATATGTCTCCCACATTATCCATGTTGATGATTCTCCTGGCATGCCTTGGAGCATTTGCGTACGCGGCAGATCTGTCAAAGAAATGTCCGGATGTCGACCCATGGAATTACACGGTTCTGTTACCAGACACCACAGACTGTTCCAAATACTTCAGTTGCCACAGCGGAACGCCAATTCAACTACCCTGTCCACCAGGACTACATTTCAATGACAATTTGAAAGTCTGCGACTACCCTAGGAACGCGAACTGTGTGCCACGTAAGTTTAAGTTTTATTTTTAAGTAATAAAATATATATCACGCTGTACTTACTCATGTTAACATTAACAGAAATAATTTTCTTTAAAAAAGTATATACCAGTATGGTATTAGGTATAAAAATTATATTCACCTGTCAAATCTAAGGAAATATTAAGAAATTGGTGAGACTAAACAGAAAATAGGCAAAATATTTGTGAAATTTATTGTACAAACAAGGGAGCATGTCATAAAATGTCCCTCATGCAAACGAAGTTGGTACGAGAATCACTTAGCCAGCGACCCTGGTGGCATTAATTAACACTAAAAGCCCGAACATTTACGAGCAAAAATGTGTGTACACAACTCAGTATCTACTTGAAGATTATTGTCTTCTGGGTTGTAGAGCCCTGTAGTATGGTAGAAGTTTACCAACGTTTCAGAGGTTCTTGCTGCCTCCATCATCAGGGCGGAGAGTAAAGACGTTTTTAAATTTCGGATTCACTGCCATAAAAACTTGAAATCCTACTCAGAAACTTGTTACCTTTAAACCTTTAAAGATTTTACCGGTCTATAGTTCTTATAAATGCCCTCGAATTAATTAAACATAGGTTATTTCACTACTCTATTTGGAACACATAACCAGGATCCTATTAAACAGAATTAATAATTTACTGGCTAATTAAAATAGTAGATAGAACAACGGTGGTCTAGCGGTTAGAACGCTGGCCTTGTAATCCTGGGGGTCTCGGGTTCGATTCCCGGCGGTGCCCGAATTTATAACTTGTGTTGGGCAAGGCCGTGGTCTAGGCAACACGGAGTTTTCCTCCGTGGCATCCCAACAATTACTCCATTCACACACAGAAGAAGGCAATGGCAAACCACTTCTGGATCATCTGCCAAGAACGTATATAAACAGGTCCCAGTCCGAGAAAAGGATGGAAGGATCCTGTTCATATGGACCTGTCGTCAGACAGAACACTAAATAAATAAAATATAAATAAATAAAAATCTCTTAGATCCATTTTAAAATATCTATCATCGGATAAATTACAGATTCGTGAGTTGAAATGTAAAAAGTATAATGAACAATAAACTAGCATGACTTCGATAAAATTAAAATATTAGAATCTTCTTCATAGCCATACAACTTCAATTCTAACCTTGTCGATGGTTTAGTTATTTGTTTTTACGATCTTCATGTCGAAACGATGTCACGTGATCATAAATAAGAGCCCTTATTAGTGGCGCTACCCGTGGTTGTTTGTAGAAATAAAATCGATATTTATCGTCATTCAACTTTCTTAAAGGTTAGACTCCATTACTGTGTATTCAACAAGAAATGTGAGGTTTTGCTGATATGTAAAGTGACGGAACAAAACATTAATTCCCAATATTGCGTACTGAAGGGAATAAGAATGAACGAATTTTAAATTCCGCCTTTGTAGAAGGAAGAAACATCTACATATAAAAGTCTATTCGCAAAATTTAATCGTTTAAATATTCATGGGTAATACTATATAATTCCACACTCTGATACAAACAGTATTTCAACTATTAAAATTTTTAAAATTCATAGACAGTGTTCTCAGAAATTCTTTAGAAGTTACAACTCCATGTAGCAGAGTCCTTTTGAAGCAGACATCTACATAGCCACTCAAAAAAAAAATCTTCCCGTTTATATAACACGGTAATTGGTTCATTACAGTAACCACAAAATCAATCAATAGCTACGACCTTGTGCTAACTAAATCTGTTACTTAATTCTACTGTTTTTAGGTTTGTTTGGGTATTATTCTTTTACTTTTATTAGATCGTATACTAATGTCAGACACGAAATAAATTTCCTTCAGTCTATAGCCGGAATAAATACGAAATACGCAGAGTCAGTTTACATAATTTTTCATTAGTAGATAAATTTTTAGCGCGACAGTACAACCCGACAGACTTACTACGTGTTTTCACGTTTGAAACATTTAAGAGGTTACTTCTCTGAACTGTGATAGAGTCACAACCAATAGATACTTTGACCAACTACACTCACGGTTCTTACAAAATGACCAAGAACACTGATTTAGAAATGTATTTTGGAAATATCTGCTTTAAATCCCTTTTTTGGGTAATGGTTATCTTAAGATTTTCGAAAAAAAAATTTCAGTATAACCAGGCTACTACCGGGAAATATCTCCAAACGAAGCAATACAGCCACCTTTCAAATCCTTACCTACATTATATTCATTTTCATCTTCGTATTTTTAGGTTATAAGTAATATAAATGATAATAAATGATCTGAATCTTTCGCGACGACGTAAATCAATAAAATTTTCTCGGGTGATCGGCCTCGTCAGATGGGTTCCGAACCCTGATGATGGGGATATAGATGGCCCCCGAAACGTCGGTTTCATAGTTTAACCCTCCGACGCGGCTGACTACCCGATAAAATTGTATTGCATAAGTAACATGTCAGTAGATAAGTCCAGACGAGTTTGAAACCATTCTCTGTTTAGGCTGCAGTGCTCTAGTAGATGACGAAGGTGGTCACTGGACCCCAGAATCCTGTAGCTCAGGGTTTAACGATCAAGGTGCTACTTGTAGCGTTGTATGTAATAAGGATTACGAGTTGAAAGGAAGTGCCTTCGTCCAATGCACGGAGAATGGATGGAACAGTTCAAACGGGAACTTCATACCCAGGTGTTTACGTGAGTATTAGCAAATGCAGAGATGATTCATAACACTTCAGTCATATAAAATGACAATGTTAAACACGTTTATAAAAAAAAAATCAAAATATAAAATTTAAATAGCGATATTATAAATTATTTAATTTATGGCAAAGAATATAACTGTTATTTTTACATTTTAGTTGTAGTGACAATACTATATTCAATACCAGTCTCGAATTAAAATTTTAACTTGTAAGAAAATATTTAAAAATAATATTATTATTTGTAATAAATTCTATAATGGATTCGTCACAGAATGCATAATAATTCAGCAACTACACAAAAAAAAGTTTGTAGTAAAACAAACTTGAAATGATCTTAGGTCGAAACTAGTTATTATGAGGGGAATTTTATAAATCGTGCGGACTATAAACTGATCTTCAAATTTTATTGTCAAATACTGGAATTTGATAACACAACAGTAAAAACGTTTTGATTACATTCTTATCTTTTTGCAGTCGAAGCTCATCAAATTAATATTTAAAGGTCTAGTTCGTACCTCAAAGAAAACACAACGCAATTGTCAATGCTGTTTAGGGAAATATTTTTTGTTTATTTTGAGAATCACACGAAACTTCTGTGTACAAAATTAAGATTTATTCAATATTAAATTAGATGGTATAGATAGTTACCAAACAGACTTTAGGATAACGATGAACAAATATATTATTTTAAAATAACTCGTGACTCTGCTAGCAACCTAATGAAATTACGTTGTTATATATTCGTCATTCATATATTAAAATCTTACTAGCCACAAATATCCGTTAATACGTCTATCACCAACAATTTTCTGAAAAAATGGCTTAAAGTTAAAAATCAATGCAGATTAAATATGAAATAAAATAATCTAAAATCTTATACTCGTCAGTAATGCAAAACGAACGCGTCATGTAGAGAGAGTATAATACAATACGGAAAATCAGTATAGAATTATTCATTTATTTTTCACAAAAGTGTACACTTAACACTACATTAGTCAAATGATGATATATGCGAGTAAATGACATGTTACACCAGATGTATTATCAATTGAAATATTAATTATTATAATTGTTTTAATTTTATACAACCAGCTGTGGACTGCATTGCCGAGGATCTCGAAGATGAACTGAACAAGACCCTGTCAGTAAATGCGGGACTACTGTTTGTCCTGGACGAATCAGGCAGCGTCTCACTAGCAGATTTTATTAAAACCAAGGAATTTGTCAAGGATATAGTCACTCAGTTTCCGTAAGAAACATCATTATTATTAATCGTATGAAATATGCTTCTGTAACGATAAATTTCTTCGGAGGTTACTGATTTAAATCTTCGTTGGGATGCAGAGTATAACGACCCCTACTTTCAGTAACATATCTTAGTATCGTTAGGTGAATATCAGACCAAACCTTAATTTTTACTTGTTTTTATCAGTCATAATCATCCCACATAATTCGATTCCCGGCGGTGCCCGAATTTATAACTTGTGGTGGGCAAGGCCGTGGTCTAGGCAACACGGAGTTTTCCTCCGTGGCATCCCAACAATTACTCCATTCACACACAGAAGAAGGCAATGGCAAACCACTTCTGGATCATCTGCCAAGAACGTATATGAACAGGTCCCAGTCCGAGAAAAGGATGGAAGGATCCTGTTCATATGGACCTGTCGTCAGACAGAACACTAAATAAAATAATAAATATATAAATCTGCCAAACTCCATACTGAAACTAATCCTGTTTCGCAGGTTGTCGGCCAACCGCTCTGCAGGGGTAATTACTTTCGATTCGAGTTCCGTGGTAAGAATTAATCTGAACGAAAACTCAACAACTCAGTTCCTGTCGAAAGTCGACAAAATAGGATACAGAGGAGGTGGTACCAACATCTTGGACGCCCTGAGGAGGGCAATCATCGAAATAAATACCAACGCAGTACACAATCTGACTCTTGTCTGTGAGTATCCAAACCAATAAAATACTTTTTAAAAAGATTTAAACTGGCGTTTTTATCAGCAGAGCTATAAATGTTTAATATATACCATCGGGACAATGTAATTCTCAGTGGACTATGACATGTGATTTTAATAGTCTTTCAATACCGCAAGAAATTATCTGCCTTTAATATAACCCCAAGGTTCGATACCGTGTCCATAACTTTGCTATCCGCCCCTATCTTGACTGATATAAATTCAATGAATGTCTCAAAAACCTACCTATTTTAAGATCCATTCTAATTTTATTATCAAATCTACGCCTTCCAAGTACGAAGCAGTCAGTTCAAACCACTGAGCCATGGCGTTCGACTTTACGCGTAAGAGACGGGGCTAGGTCATCATTATAAGCGTTCATTAAACTTGCAGTTCTGATCACGGATGGAGTAAGCACCACTGATGGTACACCAGCAGCTAATGAGATAAAAAGCAAGAACAACGCCCTTTTCACGATCGGAGTGTCCCAGTCCAAACTATTGCACCTGGAATCACTTGCGTCTACCGGAGACAATGGAATAAAACATTTCTTCCATATTCGAAGTTACGACATTCTTCAGTCCATCGGGAAATATCTTAATCGTAAGTATCCCTCTTAATTAACCTACTTACAAACCATAACAGAAGGACAGACGCAGAGGGAAAATATAAGGAGAATTAAGAAACAAATATGGCTGTATTATGGGTTGCATCACTTCACAGTCTACGATTTAAATCATAAACTATAAAGATAATTAGTTAAAATTAAGGTAAACATTATTTGTGACACCCAGTAGATGAAGGTTTAAAGAAAATAACAGAAATCGTAGCTGTTGGGCCTCTCTGAATGAGTTACCCTCATACCAGGAGCCCAAATTTAATATTTTTTTCCTGAAGAAGGAAGAAAATCCAGCTTACGAAACGTTACATTTTTTTTTCTACTCGTAATTTATACGACTGATGACTGATTTTATAAATTACTAGCTAGTGCTCTGCTACATAACTCGAAGATCAATTACATCATGGTTTAACATGGCTTATCTTCGGTTTGCAACGTACTGTACACCGGTTAATCAAATTTGAGAATAAATTAATGAAATGACAGTGAGTCAAAAGGATGAAGGCTCGCTGACATACTATTTAGAAGGGGTGTGATTCTAGGGGTGGTTTTATATGAAGACTGGGAGATGGTACGAGCAACTGAAAAGATGAATTAGCAAACACGTGTCAGTGCGTGGGACTTGACATGAGGATAGGTAATTAACTCCGTAATATCAAGCTCTAGACAAGTGTTAGCACGGGTTACGTAATAAAAATAAACATCTAAAAGCATTATTGGACCATGTGAATAATCATATATGACAAGAGACTACGTATATTGTAAGAACAAACTTACATAATAACACAATTATAAATATCAAAATCATGAAACCTAGATAAATCCAAGATGGCTGTCTACTGGGTTCCTGACTCCATCATCAGGGCTATAGCCTTGATGATGGATGCAGTAAGGCCCTCTGAAACTTCTACCAGACTACACGGCGCTACAACCCAGAATACAGCCATCTTCGGACTCACCGCTGTGAGAACATCCAAGTCGTACTAAATAATTTAATTGTTAATACCTTTAATAAACGCCTGATAAAATAAAATTAACTAATGGATTTTGTGGAAAAGTGTTCACGTCTATGGACTAGATTCAACTGTCTCAGAATATAATCCCAATGATTGTTTTTTTTTGTATTATATGACATTTCTGGGTTATAAACAGAAAATTTCTTGACGAGCTAAGAAATTTTGAAAGATTAAAGAGTTCGTGTAATTTTGAATAACCTCATACTTCGTTATAAAGTTCATTTCAGCGTCACAAATTATCATCAATCCTTCACGCCTTAACGTAATTTTCGCTATTACATCAAAGCCCAGGAGTAGCTATGTCTTTAAACAATTTAGAATGTGTCTGAAATTTAATATACTGCTACGATGGTAACTATGGTGACGACGCTTAAGGTACCAATTATAGTCATCTCAGTGAAGAATTTAGTCTATGAAATGATCAAATCAACCTTAAAGAACATTTACAAATGAAAGACTCCAGTACGAAAAGTTACGCTCACATCAAATTTTAATAGAAGTTGAGAATAAATTCAAGGTTCCTTTTCTATTTTGATTGCTGATATTTTTTCACAGAGTAAGGAATAATATATTCAAGTGGATATTAGAAAAAAATCGGGTTAAATCTGCCCGTTGGACATTTTCATTTCAGGACAGGGTCCACCGAAGGGCTCTTGTGAACAGGATAATAAACCTTCGAGTTCCACAAAAGCTGGTTAATTTCTTAACTATATCCGGGAATATTTATGTCTTATCCTCATTATTTTTAACAACACACACTCAAACATAAAATTCCAAGTTTAAAAAATTCCAATTATAACTTTATCGCTCGTTCTTTCAAACTGCCACTGGGTTCCTCACATTTCCAGTGATATTAAACTTGCAAAAGTATTTGGCATCAATCAATTATCATCAATTAAATGTTACTTAACTTCTCAGCACATAACTTTTAAAAATAAAATAATTTTTCAGAATGCTACGTTCATAAAATTATTCCTATAAATAAAATATGCACTAATATATTTTAATTAAATTGTATACAATCACATATTCTAAAAGAAGATTGTACACGTACACGATGTCCAAAAAATAAGTATACCATAATAATACGTAATAAAAACTTTGTGCCTATACAAATTTCTGAGACCATCTATATTACCACTAGGCTTTAAAGGGTTAATAACTTGTAGGCAATTAGTCTAATAGGCCTTATGTTTATAAGTGATGGAAACATTAAATTACAACCAACCAACCAATGGAGAAATACTAAATTAATACTATCAAAGTAGTAATTATTTTTGAAATTTCTAAATGATATTTTCAGCTATTCTGACGCTTTCATAGTATGGTTGGTTGTTATGCAACATTTATGTTACGTTAAAATCTCACTGAATCGCTGGCAGTGTTTCGAAACCATTTGTATCCGACATTTGTAATGAGCATTTATAACGTATCAACGTGTATTATGCTGCACGTAGTGCCATCTGGTGACACAGTCCATTAATATTTTGGTAAATAATTCATAATTGAAAAATACATAATTTATTTATTACGTATAAACAATGTATTTTATGACTTCTCTCTTTACGTACTGTGAAGAGCTTGGCATACGGTTACAGATTAACATACACGGCTTACTGAAAAACACTTTAAGTCCTTAATTTTATTACATAAAATATTCCTTAATATTAATTACAAGTAACAGACAAGAACATAAATTTTATCTATTCTTATAAGAGTTATAACTTTATGTCTAAAATTTAAAATATGGGCGTATTTTTTCGGTAAAAATAACACAGACTTACTGAAACAAAAGACATAAGTGAAAACATAAAATAGGATAAATGTACACAAAGACGTGTTAACCCTCAAACCACAAACATCTCAGAGGTAAATGTTTTCAGTTCCAGCAAAAAGTTTCTTAATTCAAGACAGAGTTTGTTTAAACTGATGGAATATTATCAATTGACAATAACGATATTATTTTGTTTCTAGCACCTGCTGGATCTGGTGGTTCAACCGGCTCTAAGTGCAAAAGTAAGTAGCCAAATACATCGTAAAATATAAACATATCACTACTGTCGAGCTATAAAAATATTCAGTATAATCCGAGATAAATTTGTGTCCGTTCACTACACTAATATTATTGTACTGTATCAGTTTCGAAAGTTGGTCTCCATCGTTTCGGCAGTTATTCCAGCTACCATCTTCAGGGACGATGTGTATTGATTGGTGATATTAGAGAGCACGCCGAAACGATGGGTAAATCTGGACATTCGACACGCCTTATCACCGAAAGCCGAAGATGTACAGTGAACTCATTAGGAAAAATCTAAGGACAATTGTATTAGACCTAAATTTGTGCGTAACGTAAATAAAACAAATTAAAATTTGTTTTTGTAAATAGAAGAGGAATTTTTCATACGATCGTGAAAAGCAAAGATTACAAAATTATTACGTATTTAAATTAAATTATGATTTATTTCATGAACGGTATACTTTACCTTACCTAATACGTAATAAACTTCACGGAATGTCGGCGCTCGGGAGGTCCTGGGTTCAAATATATTTTGGAGGAGCTGAATAAAATTGAAAACATGT